CACCGCGGTGCGGCCGCCGTGGTCCGCCGCGCCCAGCTCGTCCTATCGCGCGACGTCGGGTGGTGCGGGCAACGCGCGTGGCGGAAGCTGCTCAGGCGGCTGGCGCAGGAGACCAGGTGCATCTGCAGCTCCCCGACGGCGGCTACGGGCAGGCCCATCACGTTCGGCTACGACGCTGCCAGCTACGCCAAGAACTTCGACGACGGGCGCAGCCCCGCGCTCGCCGCCCCCGTCGCCGCCGCCAATGCGGCGGATAAGCCGAGCGGCAATTGACCCGATCGACGTTCTTCTCTCCCCCTCGTCGATCCCCTTCCGATCTTCTTTTTTTGTTTCTCTTTAATTGTTTTTCTCCAAGTATTTCCTTCTCTTTCTAGCGCCTCCTTGCAGGTGACGGTGATATTGGTGTTGTAATGGCCTCATCAATACCCCACACATATTTAGTAATTTGTACATAGCTTTCGAGATAACACGAGTGGAGTTTTGCCAAATGCACATAGGGCAATGTACCATCCCTGAATGACTGAATCTCATCTCTTGCATTGCAGCATTGGTAAGAAATTTCAATCAGAATTCAGGTATTGCAGGGATCGGAGCCATTTTCTGCCCAATCTTTCAAATGTCCTTGATTTCTGAATTCAAGATTACGGCAGAGAAACAATTATGCAGGCACTATATATCTTTTCTGCCTAATCTGAAACGCGAGGATAGTGGTCTGTTAACTCATCTGGATATTATTGTTTGATTGATCGGTTGGCAGTTACTAATCGTCAGCTTTAACTTGCCAAAGAAAGAAGATCTTTTTAAAGAAAAGGAAACGACCAATGGGTGGTGCAGATCAAACTACTCATGGAAGGACCATGCAATACAGGACAAAAGGCAAAAGTGGACGGAATTTATTGGTCTTGATCTTAGGTAGGGCCATATTAAATTTATTTTCTTTCAATGTGCCTGCCTGGTTAAGTACCGGCAACGTTTCTCAGATTCAGTGAAATGCTTCCCGGCAAATCAGGGCGTGTTGGAAGTGGAACGCGAGACTTTCTTTCTTTCTTTCTTTTTGCTTGATGAATATCGTCACAATTCATCATTACATTGCCTACACATTTTTTTTTCCTGCGATCCTTGTGTTCCTAACAGCCAGTGAATGCCGATGGAAGCTCTTTGTTTGTTGTCTTGTATATAGGGTTCTTCCTTGATTCGTTGTCGCTAGCTCCTCATTGGCTTTGCCCCTACACACTACACGGCGGTTGCTTCCTGCAAGAGCAAGGCCATTTGGTAATATGCAGGTTGATAGGTGCTACACAAGCTTCAGCCGCTAAAGACTGGGCTCCATACCAAAAGCGAGGCAAAGCTGAGCGATTTGAGGCCTCCTCGGTTGGGCGGCGGTTGCCCTCTCCCGCCGCAAAAGGCAGAAGCTTCCTTCTCGTCAGGGCTGGCCTCTCCGCAGATTTTCCGTCGCTGCAGAGGGAATTTTCAGGTGCAACTACCGGCCGGCACGCGCGCCGAGGCTGGATCCAAAGCACTCTGCAGCCTGCGATGATCGCTGCAAACTTTTGATTCACTTGACCCATGGGCCATGGTAACGTAACATCAAAATGCAATGATTACTTGATTAGTCTCTCAACTCTGAAGAGTGAAGAACTGAAGACAGTGACCAGCAGCTTCAGCTTCGCAGAGAAAGGGAACGGCGGAGTACATACGCGAGTTAGTAGAGAGGGGAAAACGGCATTTATGTCCTGAGTCGAAAACAAGTCAAGCTATACCAAATACGATTAGTAAAAGCACCGCAACGCAGCAAGGTGACGCAACCCTCCCCCTCATGGAGTCATGGTTGTTGCAAGGACGAGAACGAAACGAACGCAAATATAAATCCAGGTCCAGCGGCACAAGGCTGTAGCACGGTCACCGGGCGGCGGTAAATGGCGAATATTTTTTTAATTTTAACACTTTTTTTAAACTAATTCTAAATCTAACACCGTCGGTTTTTATTTTTTAAAACTAACACTTTTGACCACGCCTATTGCCCTGGCGCGGCCAAATACCTATGCCGCGCCATGCATGGTGGCGCGGCAGCGAGCTGACGTGGCGACAACCGAAATCGCTGACCGCTGACATGGCAGGGCTTGCCGCGCCAGCGATCCATCACGGCGCGGCAGGGATCGACTTGAATGCCTGTGACTATAAGCCTGGAACACTCCTGAAACAACAGCAGAATGCGAACGACGATGGCCTGTCGCTATCGGAGAGGAAGCCCATCGTCAGCTTGACCTTGACGCCACAGTACCTTTTGGTTTTTTATCGGTCCGCTTTTTTACCGTCAGTGCTGTGAGGTCGTGGTACTGTAGCACACGTCACTGTACTAGTTTATTTGGTTTTTCTCCATTCTCAAATCAGTGAATCATCTCTTAAAACCAAATGTCACTAAGTTGCTAGCTAGATTAAATAAATGTAATATTATCTCATCCATTTAGACATTTAGCATTTGCCCAGACGAAGAGGTAAAAACAATTGTTAGTCTTTTTATGCCGATAATGAGGACTTTTATAAACTTTTATATATTTTTATCATCCTATGCCTCGGCGAATTGGCCTCTCTATATATGGATCCTGGAGAAAAAAATACAATTGTAGCTTTGAACCTGTTTTTTTAGGAAGTAGAGCCGATGAGCAAATAATGCACATGGCAAGCAAGCAGGCACACCAATACATCATCATCCACTGCGTCAACGCGCGTCAACTGCCAGACGTATGGTCATCATATGGCATCGACAGAGTTCCCAGTGTTCACGCGCTCTCCTGTGCCTCCCTGTTTACAGTGAGAATGACCATAAAATTGTGAGAAACGATGTGTGATTTAATTATATCCTATAAAACAAGACCTTTTTAGTTTCTCCTCTAAAGTTACTCTATATTCCATCAAATGTTTGGACACATGAAATATTAAATATAGACTTAAAAAATAACTAATTACATAGTTTGTGACTAATTTACGAGACGATTCTTTTAAGTCTAATTAGTCAATTATTCGACAATGTGGTGTTACAGTAACACATATGCTAATGACGGATTAATTAGGCTTAATAAATTCGTCTCGCGGATTACTGACGGATTATGTAATTTATTTTTTTATTAGTATCCAAACACCCCATACGACACTTCCTATGACACGACATCCCAAAATTTTACACATGAAAGGGGGTGTTTGGTTGTTCCTCCTAAATTCTAGTCGCTGTCCCATCGGATGTTTGGACACATACATGGAGTATTAAATATAGACTAATTACGAAACTAATTGCATAGTTTGCGACTAATTTGCGAGTCGAATCTTTTAAGCCTAATTAGTCCATGATTTGACAATGGTTTGTTATAGTAAACATGTGCTGACGACGGATTAATTAGGCTTTAAAAATTCGTCTCGTGGAATACTGATGGATTATGTAATTTATTTTTTTATTAGTATCCGAATACCCCATGCAACATTCTCTCGACATACCTCCTAAATTTTAGTAGCTGGATCCAAATACCCCTTAGACAAGGCCTAAAGCTAGTAGACATATAAACGTGCAGCTCTGATCACACGGCCAGCAGGTCCAGCAAACGCAGTGTCAGGGTGGACACCGCCGCAGCACTAGGCACGAGCCAGTGGATGTGTACTGTAGACCTCATAGACAGAGCCATGTGGCGTCGACAGAAATGACAGTGGCTATGGAGACTCACTCTCATAAAAAGTTGTGAAGTTTTTCATAAATCAAATATACAAAAACGATTATGGATATTTTGAGAAAAATGTGTTGTACTAATTTACCGTCAGTACCATATGAAATTTAAACAAGACCTAAGATTTGGGAGGGTGACTTGACGCTGCGGCAAACATCATCATCATTGCGTCCTTTTCAAGCCCGTCAGCGAGGCCGCACAGAGCAACCGAGCGGTCTCTTTCGGCGTCCATACCACGCTCTCCTGTGATCCGTCCCTGACGATGTATCTGGCCGGTTTCGTTCGCAGCTTGCGTGTAGGCTGCTTTTTTGCTGTTGTTTCAGGAGTGTTGCAGGCTTACAGTCACAGGCATTCAAGTCGATCCTGCCGCGCCGTGATGGATGGCGCGGCAGTGCCGCGCCAAGCCCTGCCACGTCAGCGGTCAGCGATTTCGGTCGTCACCACGTCAGCTCGCTGCCGCGCCACCATACATGGCGCGGCACAGGCATTTGGCCGCGCCAGGGCAATACGCGCGCCAAAAGTGTTAGTTTTAAAAAATAAAAACCGACGGTGTTAGATTTAGAATTAGTTTAAAAAAGTGTTAAAATTAAAAAAATATTCTAAATGGCGTGGTCCAAGCGGCAAGCAGCTCCCTCACTGACAGCTTAACATCAAAGAGAGCGCATGTGCTGACCTGAAGCTCACCAACACCATGACCAGTAGAGTATGGATGAATGAAGATCATTTTAAAAAAAAAATCTTCGGGGTATGATTTTTTTTGAAAAAATAAAATAAAGAGTAAATTGCACAGCCGGTCCTCAAAGTATTTGTCTGATTTCGTCTGGGTCCTCAAACTAAGAAATAACACTCTTGGCTCCCCAATCTACTTAATTCGGTCCATGTATGTCCTAAACAGCCCAGACAGTGTCAAGCAGTCGACGTGGCTGTTCACGTACGCATGGGAGGCACGTGAGGCACACGTGACCCTCGGCAACTACTGGACAGCGAGCACATAACCATGACGCCTCCCCACTGCCAACGCTGCCCGCCGAGGGCTGCACCACAACCTGAAGGGGGCGCAGCAGCCTCGTGGTCGCGAGCGTGAGCTCAGGCCAGCGAGCACATACGCGCGCCCCGACCGCCCGTAGCTCTCCTGGTTCGCCACGCGCTTTCTCATGCGCGACACCTCGGCCCGCAGTGCCCGTTGGGGTAGCCGCCGCCTCGCTCCGCCGCCCGTGCCATGGCTCACCCCGGTTCCCGAGTATCTCCGCAGCCTCCTGGTGTGCGCCCCGCTCCGCGGCCGCCGCTCTAGCCGCCGCCATGTCCTTGATCGCCTCCACCCGGGCGCGCTCCCGCTCCACCTCGGCTGACCGTTCCGCGTCCGCCGCGTGATCCGGCCTGGCCACCATCGTGTCCTCCGCCGTCACGTCGACCACCGCCCGTGGCTTCCGCGGTTGGAACAGCCATGAACAGCAAGAAACACCGCTCCTCGTCCGCGTAGAGCTCGCCGGCGACGATCGACGCCGAGCGGCCGTCCTCGTCGACGCGGCTCTCGTAACGACCGGACTTGACCGAGCTGATGCGGACTCCGGGATGCCCGCAGGCGATGGCGACGCGCGCCTCCTGCACCACGACGGTGAGCAGGCCGCCGATGCACTGTGCGAACGTGTCCTGGATGACCGCCTCGTTCTCGATGAAAGAGAACGTCCCGCCGGTGGCCTTGGCCACGACGTGCATCGCCGCCACGTCATGGTCGTTGCCGAAACCAAAGGTGTGGATGGGTGCAGACAATTCGCCGGTGCTGCCAGTGCCAGGCACGAAGGACGGTGGCACCAGCACCTCGTAGTTGGGCACACTGCCGCGCCAGCCGCGGCATGCTTTGGTTGTCCCGGCCGTCGGAGAGGAGAATGACGCTAGAGACGGCGTTCCAATGCCGGCGCTCGGCGAGCACCTTGGCGGCCGTTTGGAGCCCCTCGGCGATGTTGGTGGTGCCGCCCGCTCTGAGGGCCTCCATTGCCTCTGTGGCGAGACTCTTCCGGTGTCCGACATGTGCAGGAGCCTGGTCACGCGGCGCGCCCCGGACGAGAAGGACACCACGCTGAGGCGGTCGTGCGGGCCGAGGCTGCCGATGACGAATCCCATGGTCTGCTTCACCAGGGCAAGCTTGTTCCGCGCGCATGCTTCCGCTCACGTCCAGCACCGTCACGAGGTCGAGAGGAGCGCGCGGCGCGTCTCGGTCTCCGGCTGCTGCCGCCTCGCCATCGACCACCCCCGGAGCCTTCACGTGCACGAGAACGGCGAAGTTGTCGTGCGACGAGTCCCTGGCAACAGCCGAGAACTCGACGTGTGTCTTGATGGCCAACGTCCCACTGGATGCCGCAGCTTGTCTCTAGTCGTCTTCGCCAGAGGGCAGCTCCACCTCGTCGTCGTCGTCGAACACCTCTGGCTCCGTGGGCTGCAGCGGTGGCTGCACGGCGGGGACAGGTGATGGCTGCACTCCGTGCATGGGCTCCATGCGGGGAAGTGGCTGCCACGGTAGTGTGGGTGGCATCGTCGACGGCTATGACGGCCGCACGGACGGCAGCTCACGCCACTGCGCGTTGCAGAGCAGGCAGACGAGGTGGCCGTGCGCGACGCTCGCGGAGATGCAGTGGTTGTGGTTACGTGTGCCTCACGTGCCTCCCTGCGTACATGGACAGACATGTCGACTGCTTGACATCGTTTGGGCTGTTTAGGACCTATATGGACCGAATTAAGTAGATTGTGGAGCTAAGAGTGCGATTTCATAGTTTGGGGACCCAAACAAAATCAGCCCAATACTTTAAGGACCGGCCGTGTAATTTACTCTAAAATAAAATATATTGGTATAAATAAACCTACTAAAAGTTGAAGTTCCATGTATCATTAATAAAATGTTACATACTTCAAGTAAAAAACAGACGAGCATCACACAACGACTCCGTGGCCCAATGGATAAGGCGCTGCTTTCTACTCGTATATACATACATGATCGTGACATAAAAAGCCAACATGAAACCAAACTGCATCTCTTCACCAGTGAACAAGCGTTGCTAAACCTGAACGCTGATCTCATATCCTCCGAGAGCGGCATGGCGGGCGGAGTGGACCAGAGAACAGGGGCGCCACTCGCTCCAGTGCTACACTGCCGCAGTGCTCCCGCTCCGATCCGGAACAGGAAGCGGCCGGTGGCCGACAGCGGCACCGTGCGCAACACAATGGGTCGGCGAGTCAGCACGCCCCCGCGAAGGGGTGCGGGGCCGCTGGCGCGAACGGCGAATATGCATCTTCTCTTACCAAAAAACGCGGCAGCGAGTGACGCGACCGCACGTACCGCCGGCTGCCGAACGCGCCCTGCAGGTGCGAGGGGAACGCCGCCCGGCGCTTGCTCTGCAGCCCGTGGAACCCGCCGCCGTCGCGGCCGCCGGAGGGCGGGTCGGGGTTCTTGACCTGCACGAGGAACGACGCCTCCGGCTCCACGTTCATCGCCTCCTGCGGTTCCCGGCGCCGCGGGTGGGGAGCTCCAGCTTGTACACGAGGTGGGTGAGCTGCGTCTGCGTCTGCCTCAGCTTCTGGAAAGGTTGGGGTTTTTGCAAATGTATTTTGGATTTAAGGTTAAATAAATAGTTATGGATCTGCAATGAACTATTTTAAAAGTTTATGGACTTAAAAATACAGTTTCAAAGTTGATGGACTTAAATAACATCCTCACGAAAGTTAATGGACCTCAAGTGCATTTTACTCTTTTTTTTCTTTCCTGGGTGTGTTATTTCCTTTTGCTTTCTTAGGTGTGTTCTACGGAGTAATTTTTTTCTCTTTCCTGGGTGTGTTTGCAGTTGTGTTGTATGCCTGTATTTACCTGTCCAGTGTTCTACAGAGTAACAGTTCGTACGAGCTTACATTCTTATAAACCCTCAAACCTTACATATAATAGGCATATATAGCTTACAGTTACAGGGTTGCACAAGTTATTTTCAGTTTGTGTACCTCCATTTTCGGGGTTTTTTTGGGCTCTCCTGGGCGTGTTTGCATTTGTGGTTGTATTTACCAGTCCAGTGTTCTACCGAGTAACAATTTGTCCGAGCTTACATTCTTATAAACGCTCGGACCTTACATATAGGCATATATAGCTTACAGTTACAGAGTTGCACAAGTTATTTTCAGTTCATGTACCTTCATTTTTTCATGGTGTATTAACTCAAAAAAACCGAGGAGCGAGCTAACAAATTTTCAGTTCACTGTACCAACGCTATTAAAATCTGATCACGCTACTTTAGTGGCCACATTTAAGCATGTGCAGTCGTGACAGCTAGAAGCCTAGAACCAAATCTGACAGTGAATGTGCCTATGCTAGAACCAACATTTGAGTTGAAAATAATGTTGCCTCGACGGCACGTTTGGATTCCTCGCCGGTGCTCACTTTGCCTGGTTGAGCAAAGTTCATGGTGTTTGGTTCCTTTACTTGCTGCCTTGTTATCCATTGCTTTCAATATTTCTCCTTGCTAAAGAGAGCCAATCCGGCTCGCCTCGGCTGGCGAGGCGAGCTTTATCGAGCGAGGCCAGGCAACACGGTGAGACATCCAAGCACACCTTTGCCGAAACTGTTCATACATTATCCCTTTAACCAAATTATTTGACTGTTTTCGGGCACCACTGGAGTAATACAACATTCTCAGTTGATAAAGTAACACACAATTATTAGAAAGAGTATTTCTAATGACCGATGCAACGGCTTAAGCCGTCTAGGACTTGGCAGGAGATGGCATTGTTGTTGTTGTGTAGATGGATTTCAGCTGCCTGTTTATGAGCTTGCTGTCATAGAGAGCCAGCTGCAGCTCCATGCCATCTGACCACCATTGCTGTAGCCCATGCGCCTCAAGGAACTTCTGCGGGCCTTTTGATGTCACAAAGAGCTTTGCGACCACATCACCAGCAATCTCACTTGCCTTGCGTTGTTGTTGCTGTTCATCAGAAGCACCATCTGTTGTTGTGGACGAGCAAGAGGGAGCGTTGTAGTGGCAGCAGATGTAATCACTGTTGTTGACATACAAATGTGGCACCCATTTCTTCTCGGTGCGCAATCTCTTCTTGTCACCTTGCCTCTGCCTTAGCAGTCTCAAGTGGTGGTGCTGTTTCTTCCTTCAATGGCAGACTTCCTTTGACTTTCTTCCACAGGTAGCTGGCCTTCTCACTCATGCTCCTTACACCCATGGCCAGTGAAACAGAAGGTGGATTGAAAAGATGACACTCCACAAAAACTCCTTGTTTGGCAAGCTCTTTGCAGACTTGAAGTGCAAAGCCAGCTCCCAAGGAGTGCCCAGCAACACAAACATTGGCGCTGCCAAACTTCTCAACTGCTGATTTTAGTGCTGCTAAAGCACCAACAAATCTCACTGAACCTTTGAGGCTCTCCCATACCAAGAAACGAAGGTCATCCTGCAGGTCTCTCTTCATAGTTGGCTTCTGCAGGAGGGTTCCTCTGAGAGCTAACACAGCCCTTGGGGCCCCGCTTGGTCTTATGAGGATAAAGTGAGATAAGGCAGAAGAACGATCCCACTCCAGCATGGCGCCATAGATGGAACCATCTCTCTCATCCACCAATGTCTGTGTGACCTTGTACTTGAAGGGTTTCCACCATTTTGGAGCGAGGCCATCCTCTTGGCCTTTCTGGTCCTGCCTGTCCAGTTCAAGCAGGTAGACTGCTTGAATGAAGCAGGCCATTACCATCCTTTTGTAATTTGGATCCTTCCTGCAAATCAATTACAGCAAGAAAGAATGTTTAGGGGGGGAAAGGTGCATCATGGCCTATGGGATACAAATCATACAATGGCATAAAGTCTAGTACAGATTTCAAATGGATTCTTTGGCATTGACATAAGGCTTGCCAGAAGCTGCCTTCCCCATACCAAGATTTTATTTTTGATTAATATTTTAAAATAACTCTCGTCAACTAAATTTTCAAAAACAACCCATTTGGCCACTGAGGCCTATTGCATGGACAAAAAGGTTTGCCATGGAAACCATAGCTGGAATTGCTATGGAAACCATATCTGGAATTGCGCATAGACTTAATGGTGAAGTAAGAGCAGAAAGAATTCTGTAAATTGCCATGGAAACCATAGCTGGACACAAACTGTTATACAATAAAAGCGTGTGCACAGAAAACGTGTTTTGTACCCCCATGGACCCACGCACAGAATACGTTAGTTTCAGGAAACTTGAACCATATTGTTCCTTGCTTTCTTGTTTTCTGATTTCCTCCAAGAAGGCTACAGCAAAACTTGAGCCACTGCTCACTGCTTTCTTGTTTTCTGTTTTCCTCCAAGAGAAGGCAGGAGCAGTGCCTTTGTTTCTTCCAATCAACCATAAGTTAACCTTGCTTGCAGGAATAGTAAACAATTCTGTTACTCCAAAAACTGCACACTAAGCACAAAATGGAAAAATTCCACAAAACTCAACTCTCGAAAAATTGTTTGCTGAACTGCAAACGGTGGCTAATCACCAGAATATTTATTGGGCCCTGTAAAAGGTGCAGCTACTTATGGGATAGTTTCTATACTTGTTATGTAGACACTACATAGAAACTAGTAAAATTCACAATGGATGGTTCCTTCAAAGTAAATGTTACCCAATCCCCTGTTTTATCTCTGGATCATCTACTATGCAACGGGATACTGCAAAATCACAGTGTCGCTAGCTGAAAAAGGTAATCGATTTTGCCGCATGCCGATTGAAGAACCTTCCATTCTCATTCAACTGCGAGCAGGGAAGGGGAATCGCGCAATCGGCGCCAGCATTCGTTTATCCCCTCCCGATCAAAAACCAAGGGAATGCCCGAAAAACAAGGTGCCAGCTGCAAGACCAAGCGACGGCCCCTGATCCAACTGAAACCTAGAAGCCCGCAGCTTGAACGAAACCACATATATACAAATAACCCGCCATCCGGATCCGGCCATCCAATCTTCATTCAGGAATGAAAAAAAGTAGGAGTACATGATTTCAAAGACACGGGAAGCGCGATCGCTTACCAGCTCGATCTGATTATCTCCTTCCAGTTGGGCGGCGGCAGGTTGCGCGGCCCGGACACGTGGAAATCGTAGGGGTGACCTCCGCCTCCGCCTCCGCCTCCGCCGCGGCCACCACCACGGCGCCTCCGCCGCACCCTCCTCCCTCCACCTCCACCACCAGCTCCTCGTCCTCCTCAAGCGCCTTCACCTCCCCCACCGCTGGAGCTGGTGCGGGGGGCAAGTCGATCGGCATCGTCGCGGCGCAGGCCATACGCCCCCGCCCCTGCCCGGGCCCGTGTTCGCGGCGCGTGGTGGAGATGGCGAGATGCAGAGCGCGTGCGCGCAAGGGGGTCGGCAACGGTCGAACCGGCGTGGGGACGAGGAATGTCGAGTGCGCGAGCGCGAGGATTCTCGGGTGCCAGGTGGGAGAGCGCGGCGGTGGGGTGTTTGGGATCTCAGGAAGAGGACAGCGGCACAGCGCCCCAACGGTCATGTTTGGAAGGGGGAGCCGCAACTGGGGGGTTTCATTACGGCAGGGCCAGAGGTTGCGTGGCTTAGCGTGTTGGCAAGTATGCCTTCCTTGTTGAAAGGTTGTTGATCTTTGGAAAAAGTCTACTTTTGCTCCCTCATCTTTTGCGCTAGTTCACTTTTGCTCCCTCATCTCTAAAACCAGGCACAAGACCTCTCTCATCTCTCCAAACCACTTTGACCTCCCTCGGTGGTTTGGCCTCCCGATTCATTGAGTCAAGCACTAAATCAAGTAGAAGTGCCCGTGCCCAAGATCGATCGACTACATTAGTTAAAAAAAATCCCCCAAGCGAGCGAACCCTAGCTCCGGCATTCGAGTGCGGTCTTGGGCGTTAAGTAAGCCACAAGCCGGTCTGGGCCTGGGCTGGCGCCGGGCGCGGCATGAAGATGGCGAGGAAGTGCTACTAGGCCTCGGCGGCGCATCACGCCAACTCTCATGAAACACAGTGTCGGCCGACCACGGTGAGCGCTAAGCATAAATGGATCTGTATTTTTGAGTTGTTTTTCTTGGTGATTGTGTAATTTAACAAGTAATGGGTACATCAGTAGTCCTATTTTAAGCACTTGTAGTCCTATTTTAAGCACTAATGTTCTTACCGCACCTATTTTATTAGTACTGAACCTCGTAGCTTTGTATCTTACGCATGTAGGTGTCACGTGATTAGGCATGGATGGTTGCGACTTCCTCCCCTGTTCGGTTTCATTTTAATGGGGAGTTCTTGAGGAATAGCAATGGAGTGTTTTATGTTGGAGGTACTCAAGCTATGTCTTACATCGACCGAGACAAGTTGTCGCTTTGAAGTTGTTGGCCATCTCCGTGACCATTGCAATGTCAAAGAAGGCACAATTTTGCATTGGCTATTTCCGGGGGAGAGACATGAAACCACTGAGAGCTTTAGTTGATGACAAAGTGTGCGGATCATGTCTTTGCATTGTTGAAGGTGATGTTGCGAGATGTGTATCTTTGAAAATCATGAGTATGATCTGACTATTGAAGCAAGTGTCTATGAGGAAGAGATGGAAGAAAATTCCAAGGATAATGAGATAGAAGATGAAGATACGCAACCTTTGACTATTTGGAAAGGTGAAAGCAAAGAAATAGACAAGCAAGTTGACTACGGTCAATTTTCTTGTACTCCAAATAACATGCCGGGAGACACAAATGGAGATGAGATGTCTAACATTGACGGTGAGTACATGCCCGGAGACTCATGTAGTTACGGTGATGATGAAGAAGCAACCCAAATTCATAAGAAATTTAAGGATTTCAAGAAGAAGATAAAGAAGGGTGAGGCAGCAAGCTTAGATGATGTGATATATGAAGGTGTTGATTCTAGGCCTCAAAATGAACAAGAGGATGAGGATGATGGCAACAACACTCCATATTTAGATAGTAGTGATGAGAATCTATTGATGAGTTAGAGTGCAGGGCAAGGTAGCCTATATCCAAGATTTAACAAGAAGAAGCTGTTGTCAAGTTTAAGTTGGGAATGAAATTTAGTTCAAGAAGCAATTCAAGAAGGCTGCACTTAAGCATGGCTTGGATGAGAGAAAGGTTATTCGGTTTATTAAGAATGACCCAAAGAGGGTGAGGGCAATATGTATTTGGGAAGGTTGTCCATGGGTATATGTCTGTTGTCAAATACTTCTAGGTCGATAGTTGGCAAATATCTACATTTACAAATAATCACATGTGTCCACCTAGAAGAGACAATAAACTAGTGACCTTCCTTGTAATTGCTAGGAAATATGAAAAGTTTATTTTGCCAACCCATTTGGAAAATACCTCACATGCGTGAGACAGTTCAAGAAGAAATGTTTGCAACCGTTTCTAAGTCGAAGCTAAAGAGAGCAAAATCACTAGTGATGCAGAAAGCTTTGGATGCAAAAAAAAGTAGTACTTAGGGTGTATGACTACCAAATTTCGTAGAAGCAACCAGAAGCAACGTTATTGTGAACAAAGATAATGTAGAGCCTCCTATTTTTAGAAGAATGTACATATGTACGCATTAAAAGAAGGGTTAAAAATAGTTGTTGGGTTTGGATGCTTTTTCAAAGGAGCAACTAACGGTGAACTTCTTTGTGCTATTGGGAGGATGCCAACAACGGATGTACCCTATTTTGATATTGTGGACAAGGAGAACAACGACAATTGGGATTGGTTTTGATATGCTCTTTAGGGATGTTGGTGTGCGGGGAGGACATGGATGGGTTTTCATCTCAGACCAGCAAAAGGTATCTTTCTTTGTAAAACATTTGTTATGTTAAAATTTGTAACTATGAAGCAGATGATTTATAATATTTCCGGAATTCTTAAGTTCAACCAAATATGTGAACAGGGACTATGCTAGACACATTTATGAACCGGAAGAAGGAGTTTGAAGAAGGACTAGAAAAATTTTTGGAGGTGTGCCAAAGCACCTTGTTTGATGCTTTCAACTTGGCAAGAGCAAAGCTAGCACAACATGCATAAGCTATAATGAACACACATCCTCGGCATTGGAGCCGAGCTTGGTTAAGAAGGTTCTAATTGTGAGATAATAATATTTGTGAGTCATTCAACAAATGGATCATCGAGGCTAGGTTCTTTCCTATAATCACCATGCTTGAAACTATTAGAAGGAAAGTAATGGTGGGGGATCCAAGAACAAAGAACTAAATCACGAAGTGGACAATGGTTATATTGCCCAAACATCAATAAAAAATTTAATGTCTACATTTCTATATATACACCGCCATGCCATACGCAATGGGAACGACAAATTTGAAGTTCAGCATTTTGACAATAGATTCATAGTTGATTTGGTGTCAAAGAAGCAGGTATTGGCAATTATGCGGACTTCCTTGTTGCCATGCCATTTCATGTATATTATTCAAGACCAATAGATGAATATATTATCGCTCGTACACCATTTCAAATTATAAGATATTTTAATTTTTTAAAAAATACATAACTTTTGTTATACACTCAAATAAAAAAAAAAATGTGTCTAGAAAAATCAAAATATCTTATAATTTGAGATAGAGGAAACTCATTAAAAGTTCTATGGTTGCTATTACCATTTTCTTCCTACCATGGTCCGTGAATTTTTCTTTTTTGATTGAAAAATAGTACCGACCCAAACTAAGCAAGGTTATTATATAATTATTAAAGGTTGTTTGGTTGTCGATTACAATTTTCCATGCTTAAGACTTAAGAGCGTCTCCAAGAGCTTTTCTTAAACTCACTCTCTAAATCATCATTTTGAGAGTCATTTAAATAAATTTAACTCGATATCTTTCAACTCTCCTATGGTTTCTCTATATTTTGTCCGTACTTTAGAAAATTGCATCTTTGGCTAGCTAGAAATTTAGAAGAGAGAATGATTATATTTGAAGATCTAGAACTGCCACAATCTTTCTTAGAGTGGTGAGTTCAAACCAAAATCCAAAATTTCTCAAGATTCTCCGTTACATTGAATCTTAGGTTGCTCACACGTTTACATTCTTGGTTCCGGCCCGACAAGACATTAAATGTAGGTAAAGTATGGCATGTGCTTTTAGCTCATTGTTCGTGTCCTAAACGATGGTGCAAGTTTGCGACAAACAGTACATGCATAAGAAAATGAACTATATCGGTATGAAGGAGGGCGTGTTTGGTTGGTTCTATCTCCTTCATTACGACTAGGTGAAAATCTGTAATCTGATAAATAAGTTTTTTTGGAGAGGAAAACATTGTCACGATGAATATGCTAAAAATTAGTTTCACTAGTCATTTCGGCTAGTAGATGCAAAACTTTGGACCATAGGTCATTCTCTAGCAAAGAGCTCCATAGTCATATGCATTGATAAAAAGAATAACTAATTAAACAGCGGTTGTCATTTATACATTTGCATGACAACCAACGTGAAACCTAACAACACTAGGAATCTTTTAAGCCTAAATAGTCCATAATTGAACAATTTTGCCAAATACATAAAACGAAAGTGCATATTCTTCTTGAACTGAGGAAACTGTCCATTTTTTCAACAAACGAATGGATCTCCTCGGGCATTTGAAGAACCTTTCCACAGACATCAGCCCTAGTTAAATAAAGATGATACTTTTTCACCATAATATCTATTTCTATCAATTAAGAAAGATATGAAAAGGCTCTTAGAGTTGCTCTAAGTGCATCTTTAGGAGTCTTTCTCAAACTCACTCTCTAAATAATCATTTGGAGAGCTATTTGAAAATCGCTCTGTCTATATCTTTCCATCATCCAACTGTTTATCTATACCTTATGCACATTCTAGCTAGCCCCGCTCTCTATCTTTGGCAAGCCAGAAATTTGGAATACAGAATGACTATATTTAAAGATCTAATTAGAAATAGTTGGAGGGTATTTTTAATCAAAGTTTCTATTCTTATCAATTAGGAAAAATATAAAGAGGCTCTTGGAATTTCTCTAAAGTTAAGTAAAACCACACCTGTGGTTAGCCACATTCTATAGTAAAAATAGAGTGTTTGGTTGGTAATTAACGTGAGGCAAAATCAGTGTGGCTGTAACTTGGATTGCTCTGCCACAAAAGTTTGGCAAAAACCTGTGGTAGCTGTTTGGATTGTTGTCATATGTTGGTAAAAACTTACAAGCACAAGATAAACTGGAGATTTCATGAAACAATACCGTTCTAGGAAAATGAAGTCTTACCAAACAGAAGGAATATATGGGTTTGGGGAAACATTAACATTCTAGTAACACCCAGTTTAAATTAACAGTGTGGCTGTAACTTGGATTGCTCTGCCACAGTTTCCAGTCAAGCACTACATGTCTTATCCATATGGGTTTGGGGAAACATTATGATCACACTTGTTCATCGAACAACCACCATCATAAGATAAATCCTATAGGTTATAATGCCTTCTTTCTCACAAAAACTTGAAGACCCATGCATGTAGAGTATCAGGACTTGCGTTGCATGACCAGCCACGATTACCTTTCTTCTCTTTAGAAGCCAAATATTCACCAACATGAACCCTCTACTCAGATGTCAATGGGATTTCCTCTAGTCTCTGCCACAGAGTTACATGAGGGTTAATTAGTACACTGTGCCATTTCTAGAGCAACGGTTGCAGGAGATGCTTCCCGAATTGATTTCATCATAATAGTGATTCCATGTATTGGTAGTAGTCTGATATTTTTCTTGAGAGATCAATGTAAATTAGACGTATGAGTAAATTAAGAAAATAAAAGATTTTAGATGAGAAAGTGGTAATAAACAAAGAAATTATTAAAAAAAGGTTTGGTTGGTTAGAAATGGTTCAAAAATTGTTTTGAAAGCTATTTAGGAGACTATTGGAGAAGGACAAAATTTAAGTTTGTTATTTCTTCTGTTAGTTGTTAGATCTATTAGTTTAGAAAGTAATAAATTATGAGTAGAATGCATGGATAGTCCATTAATTTGTGAGGGTGTGTCGATTTGGTCCATCAGGTTTCAAAGTGCATTTTTGGGTCCAAAATCTTGACCAGTAGTGCATAATAAGTCCATACCCCTTCGTTTTATGTTTATATTTGTAGTACCCTTCACGTGCAAAGGGGCGGGATCGGGGCGTGCACGGGGTGTGATGCGCGAGGTGCAGCAGGAGACGGAGCAAGTCCAGGCGCTTAGCGACCAGAGCGCGAAGCAGTGCGCGGTGATCAACGCGCTGGCCGAGCGTGTGTACGCGCTGGAGCGAACCGTGCAACAGATGGAGGACGCCGAGAGCCGTCGGCGCTGGGCCAAGAAGCTGAACATAGAGGCCAAGTGAAGCATCAACGTTTTCCAAGCGATTGATGACACACATACATTATATAAAGATTTAAAAAGTTTTATAATTTTGCATTGCTTCTAATTTGTGCGTGTACGTGTGAAAGGTCCTTTTTTTGGTTTTGATAATTGACAACCTAAGTGTACTAATATGTGGTTATGTGAAAAATACACAGAAGATTAGTCCACATGTGAATATGTAATGAAGGAGCTCATTGCATATGAGACGACATGGAGTCATGTGACTAAGGTGGAGAAGATCAAGATGAGGCTTGGCTTGATGGATCTGTTGCAAGAGTGAAGGGTAAGTCGAAGGCTTTGAAGCGCTGGACCGCGTGGCGGGATGCTTGAGCAAAGACTTGGCGCCGATGGACCGATGCAACAGTGAAGAGCAAGTGAGGTCAAGATCGATGAACCAATAAGGTCACATGATGATATAAAGTGGATCATATCATTGTTGATCGTGTTAGTGCATGTGTTGCATCGATATTGGAGGAGGTGAAATAAAATGAGTAAGGCAAAGGTATAACCTATAGAGTATTTTATTTCACCGGTCATAAGTGTGTAGAGAAGTTTATGACCGAGTTTAGGATAGATGGCCATACTATCAAGAGGGGCAAACTTATTTGCATATTGGTCATCTAGTGCCACTCGAG